TAACTTAAACCCTAATTTGCGAATGAGCAGAATTTTGAGCACTTTTCGTTATTCAGATCCACTTCATCGAAACTGTCATAAGACACGTGCTTTAGTCTAAAAATCCTGCCTTGCGTCATTGTTTACCGGTGAGTTATTAGAGCATCCAAAATGGCTCAAAGGCTGCTCATACTCTCATGAAAGCAAGAGACCCGAAAACATTCACCAAAACTCTTGGTCGCTTTACAAACAAAAATATCTTTTCTATTGAACTCTGCCTTTGCACAATATACTGCACAAATCCCTAATCTGCTCACGGCGAATCGGATGTGTTCATTTGTAAACAGGATGGCACATTAAAAAAAGGTAAATGTGTATTTCTAGGGTGAATATTGAATTGGGTCAATTTGGTACAAAAAAGCGCAAGCCTTTTTTCAAAAAATGGGTCCGAGTAGTAGAAAAGTAAAGGGTTTTGTAATAGAAGAAATTGGACGAAGTAATAAAATGGAAAGTGAACTGAGAGCAGAGATAGGTTTATGCATCGAAAGCAGCAGTTCACCTCGTAAATAGTAAGGTTGGCAAATGACAAGCTGGAAATCGTTTTCGGCAAAAAAAGCAAAGGGAAAATCGTTTCGCGGTGTCCGGGGCGGGGCGGAGCCCAAAAAAATGGTAGTTCATGCTCTCTGCTTATCTTAACATGTTGTGTGCCGTAACATGCGACCACTGGAGTTCGCGCTCGTCAAACCGCGTCGTCGCTAATTGTCGCGCGCGCGACGTCGCTCAAACGATGCTATTTGTAACAGCATACATGAGTAGTTCTTAATATATGCATAACTATATGGCAAGAAATTTCGTAAGCGAAAATTAGGGACTAGTGGAAACAAAGTATGAAAAATTATGGAAACCTTATGTGAGCGGAAGGAGTAATAAGCATTTCTTTCGAAAATTTTGCATACTGGTGGGTGAAGATGTAAATTCAAATGACTCTTCTGCAACGCGCTAACGATATGGTATGAAACTTAGTATGTACATGCACACGGGCCTGCAGGGCTTAACTGAGAAGTTCCAATGAAAAATTATATGAGTGAAGGGGTAGCAAATTTTTTTCTGAAAACTTCCCGCTCCAAAAAAATCGAAAAATAGCCCGTTGGCAACGCAGAGGTCGGACTTCCGCGGTATTTGGTGTGTATATGCGCAGTAGGACTAAGTAACAAAGTACGAAAAATTATGTAAAACTTATGTAAATGAACGTGCCCAACTTTTTTCCAAATTAGGTTGCCATTAGACAACCTAGTGACAACCTGAGGTTGGCAAAACTTCCAATTCACATAAGTTTTGAAAATTTTTACATAAATCTACTCTACACCTAAACATTAGCATATATCGACATTTTAGTATCGAACTCCTCCTTTCCTCACCGCTATGGCCAAAAATAGCTTCAGCAGCCGCATTTGCTAAGGAGAAAAAGCGCGCTCCGATCGATAACGGCGTCGTTGGGTCCTTTAATCGGCGTTTCTGATATCTCGTCACTTTTTTACTTTGTTTTTTTTTTGTCATAAATGAATTGTTTTCGTTTTTTTCAATCAAGCTGTTTTCTGGGAAAATGTTTACTGCGCAACACTGGGATCAGTTTTTGGGTCAAAAGGGTATTCGTAAAAAAATTTTGGGGTCAAACGGGAATTCGTTTTCAAAAACCTCTTTTGACAATCTCGTGCCGGTCCCTGCTTACTATCTAGACACGAGAACTGGAAGAGATAATCAAGACCAGGATACAGCAAGTTAATTGTTATCCTGCATTTAGAAGCTGGATATTTCATCAGTGGCTGAACAGGATGCAATATCAGAAATCTATGACTGCTTTTTTGTGATCTGCGTTTTGCATAGCAAACTAATTTCGTCGAGCTGTGTACTAAGCTGTTCAAATGTTCTGAAAAAAATTTTGAAGACCAAATTTAAAATGAAAGGCACTGAAGATGTGTTTCAGGTGCTCGATAGTGCTAGCTATTAGATACGTCAAGCAATTTGGAAAACTAACTACAAAGGCGATGTCCTTTGGAAGCTTGGTAACCCATTACTTTGAAGGTCATGAAGACAACTTGAATTTGCCCAGAATACTTGCACAAACCTAGTTGTGAGTGCTCGATACCTTTAGTCTTTTGATCCTCGCATTTGTACCGCTTACGCAGGGTATGCTTTTTTCGTCGGTTGCCTCCATGTTCTTCTATCTAACATGGAAGGACCCGAAGTCAAAATTGGCTTTTCTCATAGAACATATACCAATCTGAATTGCATCAAGCGCCAATTCCAAAACTATCTTTGTTATCTGCCAAGCTCCTCTAGACGCTGAGTTAAGAGTGCTTTTTGATTGGAAACATTGAACGCTCAACTGGAACAAATTCGTTCAAAATTGCGCAAATGACCCAGCGCTGGATATCAGAGCACTATATGCATAAAAAACTTTTGTCTAGTACAGATGTGCTCAACAATTCTTTATTTGAGTGCTGGCATAACCATTGATTTTACCTGGATTTCCTTTCGTTTTTCTCTCCGAAAACCAAGAATAAAACAAATCCCTAATGACAAGGAGCTAATAACTCAGCGTAGGCGCTTGGCAAAAACAAAAACAGTTTCGAAATTAGCGTTTGATTAAGATTTCTCTTCGGATTAGTATGTATTTCAAATGGAAAGGATTACGACATTGGGTCCCGTGGTAAGGCAGGGCCTTCATCTATTCTAAATTGTCGCAGGTCGGCCTTTCTTTGCACCCATCTCATCTTGGGTCTATCCCTAGGTCATTTACCTGGTTCTTTCACAGTTTAGGCTAATTTCGTGATGTGGCTTTCTTCCTTACCTGCACATGTCCCTACACCGCTCTTCTCCTGCATTTCTTTAGCCATTAAAGCCACTTTCATTTTGACCTATATAGTGTCACTGCATATGTGGTCCTTCAGTGTGACTTCTAAAGCCCACCGCAACATCCTTGTTTTCATGAACTGAGCTTGCGCTTCTTCTTCCGCATACAAGGTCCGCAATCACTGCCGTACAGTGCTACTGAACGCATAACAATACGGTACGGTTGGGACTTCAGGAGCTCTTATTCTTTTGTCGCACAGATCTCCTGTCAGGTCTCTCCATTTCATCCACCCTGTGTTCATCCTGCCTGTGACCTCCTCTCCTAGGACTCCTTCGGCTGAGATGTACTGCTTGGTACTTGTATGAAGCAATCTTTTTAAGCTTTTCATTACCGACGCTTATGGTATGGAGTTTGTTTTCCCACTTCCATATATTCTCTCCTCCTGGTGTTTAGCTTCAAGCCATACAACTCTAGCCTGTTTTCCATTTTTTTACTTCGTCTTTAACTCTTTTCTGGTACTTGCTATCAAGACCACACTATACCACACGAAGAAGTGTCCAACGACTTCACGTCCGAATGGCTCCATCACGGAGTTCATCAGAGTTATGCAGAACAAGGGAGAGAGTAGTGAACTGTGGTGTACTCCAAGCTTGGTTGGAATTCTTTCAGTTGCCCTGTAGCTGTTGGCAAGTGGCTTAAAGCGTTATGGTAGATCAACTTTATCCATTGAATGTACTCCTCTGGCACTTTATGCTTCCGTAAGACCGACCATATGACTTAATGGGGTACATTATCAAAATTTCTCCAGGTCCAGGAATGCTGCATGCAACTCCTTTTGCTTTTCTCCATATTTCTCGATCACTTTCGAGCGGAGTGGATGGCGTCGATTGTACCTACTCCTTTCACGGATTTGCACTGATTCGATGACAACTCTATGATACCTCGAAGTTGTGTTTCGGTTGTTCGCTAGGAGATTTTTAGAGTGTGGCTCATCGGATTGGTCAGAAACGCAGCCTGCTTATGAAATTGTGCAAATGACTTGTTTATACTCTCCTTATGATCTGATTGAGGAAACTTGTTGACCTTGAGGCTTCAAAATGTCCACGTATTTTCCAGAACTCCCTTTGCTTTGCCATTCTTTGTTTTTCTTACAATTAGCCATACTTCATCTAACGTGACTGCTGGTACTGATCCTCCTAGGACTAGCTTCTAGGATGGAGTTGCCGGCGGTGTGGCCTGTGTTGGCCATTTCTTCGAAGTAGGTCCTCCACCTTTCCTAATGTCCTCTGGTGTTCTCGACACCTTTAATACTTGTGGATATAGCGGCATCCGCGTACTAATTGCTCCACTACTTGAGCTTTTAACAAAACTGATTTTCCTTCTCTGATATTGCTGCACAAACTCAAATTCCTATCTGTATGGCCACCCATCCAGCACGCTATCGAGAAGAGCATCTGTGACATACCTTATGAGTAGTTGAGGGTTTTCAGCATACTTGATTAAAAACCCTTGTTAACATGCACTCTCACAGAAAACAAAATAAAGTATCCCAGCAATAACAGAACTTGTCGGACAATCCAGTCATAGTCATTGATCTTCTATTCATGGATGTGGCCCACAATCCTTTACGGTTACGCTAGGGCCAAGATTGCACATTCGCTCATGGGTTATCTAACACATGTTCAAAGAAACGATGCTTGTTTTATTACAGGGCCATTTTTTGTGGGGTTACAGTAGACTTACAACCTTGTTTGCTGTCTCCCATAAACCACGCAGTCGCAACACTTGGGTACCTTTTTTAAGCTCTTTATCAGAAATCAGGTGCTTGAGTAAGCAACTAGTGCTATGACAATTTATAGTGCATGCCCTATACAATGGTGAGGAGGAAAGTGTCAACACTCCTGAGAAATGCTACCGAGTTGTACCCGCATTTTGGTGTAAAAAATGAAAGTACAGCTGCTTATCAAAGGAAGTGAACACATGTATAAATACAGCCAATGTCAATCACGACTCCCTCTCGCATTGGAACTACGCAAGCGGAACGCAAGGGCACTGCGTGCGCTCCAATCGATGAGGCCCAATAATGGGCGCCAAGCTCGCCGCGTGTACGAAAAGAGGACCACGTAATTGACACGTTATGTAAAGCAAAACGTTTTTGATTCGTGATTCATTGCCGAAGTTCACAGTGCATTCGGGATGTATACGAAGATGTCTTTGTACTACCGCTATTCTTTTGTACATCGCGAATTAGACCATTGCTCCCCATTTCGATCGCTAAGCTTTTCAAGTGCTTCTTCAAGCCAGAGTGGAATAGGGCGTAGACAATGCAATTCATGCAACCTAAAAATGTTTTGAAACTGGGAGATTGATTGGAAATATCAGAAACTTACCAGCGCAAAGCAAGCCAACCAGATAAAATGGACCAACATACTCGAACAGAGAAAATCCAAAAAGCTGAGCTCCACCGACTATTACGCTAGGAATTGTGAGACAAACTAGAGAGCTAAGAAGAAAACTGGCAGATGATTTGTTGGCCTGGAAACGGTGACTCAGACAGAAGCTCAAACTTCGGGTTGACATTGCAAACCTACAGTACCCACCTTTGCGAATTTAGAAAGGTCGTTTGCTTGCGAGAGACGCGTTCCTCGGGATCGTGTCTGCATCTGTTGTAGTCTTAATAATACAATGGCTGTCAACGCAATGATAATCAGGCCTAGAACCTGAAGAAGTTTGGTTCCTCTTGGAAAAGAAGCATCTGTTAATGTGACCTACCATGTTACTGATTCCCCAGTAACTTCGAAACCGGAGACTGAGAAAGCAGCCAACTGCCGCGCAGTCCACTTTGCGTCTTATGGGTGATATGCAGAACTCAACCATGATATCGAAAAGACCAAAAATTATGCCTGTGACGAGGGCAGTAGTAGCATATTTCTTCACGGGAATCATTTTATATTGCAATGGAGCGTAGAGAGCCTAAAGTACCCAGTATGTTACCCAGTCAAAATGCACCTGGAAGGTAGCAATGCTTACCGATACTCTATCCAATGCTATTGCTATTGTAAGGGTAATATTGATTTTGAGCTGGAATGTTAAAGGAATGGCCGAGATTACAACTGCGTAAGGATCCATGTCTATTCGTACAGGGTCCCAGTTCAATATGAGGTATATGGTGTAGAATGAAACTGGAATGAAAAGACTAAATAGAGTAAATTTCCATTTTTCACCACTCGTTATATCTGAGAAGAAAATGCTTGTAATTACGAACTTTTAGGCCGAAACACGTCTCTAGGTGCTCTCACATTTGATGTAGTTATCAACTAATAGCCTATTGCTAAAGGCCTTGATTTTCTAATAGGCTTCCGTGGTGACGCAAGGGAAAGCCCATGTGAAGACAATGCCTTTATATTTTTACGAAACCCCACACCAAGCCCACCTAGGTTGCTCCAAATCGCCCTCCATACTCGTCAAGCTGTACATACCTTGTCAGTCGTTCATCCTACTCAGGTCGCCCCCACTCCTTCAACACGCCGTACTTCGCCAAAATTCCAAATCGCTTTCCATACTCGTCAAGCTGTACATACCTTGTCAGTCGTTCATACCTACTCAGGTTGCCCCCCACTCCTTCAACACGCCATACTTCGTCAAATGCTATACCTCCCCAAATCGTCCGCTATCGTCAAGTTTTCCACTTCTTGCCATGCCGTACATATCTCGTCAAGCCATCAGCCCAGTCTACCTAGTCAAGTCCTTTCATCAAAGTCGATTTCTCCTTTTGATTAGTCAAATCAAAACAGATTGATTTTAACCAACTATTTAAACTTGAATGTTATTGTCACTAACTTTGACCAGGCTTTACTAACGATCATACCAGCTCGTCTCGGGTACCTGATTTCACTTATAATTTTCATTGCACTCAACGCCTAAAGTGTTCAAGGTCGGTTCTGTGCAAATGCTATGCGTCCATTCCCACTTGTCAGGCAGTCCAAGCACCCCAACATAGATTCTTGCTATCCTCTAAAATCTATCTTCCTGGGATCTAGTCAGCTAGCGTAAGCTCGCTGGCACTCTAAAAAGGATGTTAAAAATAATTTGGAGGATGCAGGATTTTAAAGTCGTACTCTCATCATTTTTCATGTGGATATCGCTGTATCACAATAGACCTCAGGCTGTGGTTCTCTTATACGTTCACTGTTTATCTCCCTGAAGCCTTGGACTAGCTGGTATCATGATTTGTTCGACGTGTTTGAGTTTTTTCCTGTTCTTTGTTTGGTGCACCTTGAGTGTATTAGTAAAAAGTTTGAAAATTTTTAAGAAATTATCCGCATTGGAAATCCTAAAGTATGACTGGCTTGGTAGAGGTCCTACAACCCACTTACAGTAGGTAAATTGAGGCCGCCACAAGTAGACCTAACATTTTTGTTCAGTTACACTCTGTATCGCTTGGTAACTGAAACTATTGAAAAGTGATAAGCTACCTTCTTGAAAGTTTCAAAATGGTTCCAGTTTCATTCTCTCATATGGGAACCGATACACCCCGCTAATAGAGAGCAGAGTTCATCTGTGCACATGCCGTCCTCTACCTTACTTCTTACGAATGAGTTAAGGTTCTCTTTTTTGCTCTTGATTGAATGAACTACCAATGGTAGAACACTTCTATGATGCACAGTACACAAAATACTCTACTTACTGGCAATAGCATGAAGAAGATCCGTTATAGCGAGATACATGACCAAGTGGATAGAAATAGTGTTCTTCTTTACCCTGAAAAAAAAAACAGCATTTTTCAATGTGATGTCAGTTAAACCGTATCTTGTCCTTGGTCTCAAGCAATTTATGAAAGCTCTTTAGCTCTGTAACTCTGTCGTAAGATGGATTAGTGAAAATTCGACTTTCGATTATAGTATAGAAAAAAGAAGAATATTGTGAACATATGCCAAGCATCTGGTTTGGGGATAATTGCAGTAAACTTGCGGTTTTACAGCACTAGTTTAGTCTAGAATATATGCAGTAAGCTTGAATTTTTGCAGTAGTTTCGTTAAAAGTCAGAGAAGTTGCAGAAGGAACAGTTTTACATAGTAATGATTTTGAAACACCCATCAGAATGATTAGAAGAAGCTTACATTTTGCGGTAAATGTGAGATGTGCATACTACCGGGGGTTTAGAGAAATGATTCAGTATGATTATCATAATCTTTATAGTTTTTGTACAGAAATCAAAGTAGTTAACTTCTGTCACTTACTTGTACAGCGCGAAAAGAACTATGGTATTGAAAAAAATAGCTAGAGCTTGTAAGGCAAGCACGATGACATCCGTCACAAGGAAGAAGTTCATTCTGAAAAAGCGTGTTTCAACTCATTTAAACCTCATACAAAATAACTACAGCCGTGAACAGTGAGCCTAGAACATTAGTCATCCACCATCGTTATGTCACAGAAATCAAAGTGAGCCTAATGAATGGATGCAATAGCAAAACCTATATTAGCATTATCAATGCAGTCATGCCTATCTTTGTCACCAGTAACTATAGATGAGAATATAGTAACATTGAATAATAAGCATATAATCAAGCAGAACACTGCCTTCATTAGGTTGGGAAATAACATGTGTTTTGCAAAGGTTCACTATAGAGAGCTGTTACTTGGCTAAAACTTCTCAAACGCGGTTTTCTGCGTTTTTTCCTGGAATCTCGAGGTGAACCGCAAGCCAGTAGCAATGAGGATCTGCGAAAAAAAAGTTCAAAGATTTTAGCTTGTTTGAGCCCGTCTTTGGTGGACCCTAAATCCTGAATTATGAAACTTATAATCTAAGTACAATAGCTGATGACTGTTTTTGCGAAAATTGTCATCGAGATGTCATACTTTCATGCGATTGCCTCGGTTTATTTTAAAAAGATTATGCTTAAGTGTGCTATATTTAGAAAAAATTCTATTTGTAACCGGGGGTGTCTAGTGGTATAACGGTTTTAACCGGATCGATAGACAACACGGATTGAACGACTAATAGTTTATCTCAGAAAAAACGGCGACGAACAACAAGAAACAATAATGCGTAACGTGAACAAGGCTTAACAACGAAACGACGGGCTTTACCCTCTTGACCACTTCGGCAGGCTTATAGTTATTCTCTATCTAAGGGGGAGATCCGCCTCTCTTCGACGGAGTTAGCTCCCGCTAGCGCTTCCCCAGCGCGGACTCTGAGACTCCCCCTGTCTCTCGGTATTTATACCCTGCCGAAGGGGTCAGCGCGGGCTTTTCTTCCCGCCACTGAAGATCGGTACGGTGATCCGCGCCCTCTGACATCCCTCCCCTCCGGGGAGTCGACGTCCTCGGCGGCTGCTGCAACTTGCTGAGCTTTGCACCGGGAACTCTCCTGCGGATGACGTTGTAGAGGAATCGCGCATATCCATCCCTGAAATGCGTGTCGAATACCTGAAAAGAATTTTGGAGTCCATCTGTTCCCATGGTCACTTTCCTATTTTCTATCCTTGAGGGAGCCAACGTGAACAACTGATTTGGGTTTGCCCATTTTTTCAGTACTGTTTCGATCACCGTCCAAACTTTTGACTTCGTTTTCCACATACCAATCTTCTTGAACAATGGTGGCGGCCACACGGATATAATCTTCCCTCCTTCTTCGAGGTACTTCTTGCATATCCGCAATGTCTCAATGATAGCCTCATCCTCCCTTCTTGGGTTCATGGGCCATACTATGATCCACATGCGACAGTTCTTCAAGTATTTCAACGCTTCTTTGAGTTGACTGAATGATACTGCTACCTTGGTCAGTACTTTACACTGTTTCAGCTCAACTTCCTCAAATGATGTTGCACATCTCGGCGCAATAAACGCAATAGGACGTTCCTTCTCAGAACTTTGTCCTTTCTTACTGCTTGTCTTCTGAACTTTGACTCCTTTCTGTGCCTCGCCGCACATTTTCCGATCGCTTCTGGAAGGGCTGTGCTTCTTGTTTCCCTTCCTACATGTCGACTTCTTCCACTTGCGCTCACTAGCTTCCTCTGGCCAGATTTCTTTGTCTGCTTGGACATCTCTTTTCCTCTCAACGATAGTTTTCTTGTTGACAGTTACAGACATGTCCTTCTCTGGGATAGATCCGTTCACAGTTATGGTACCTTGTTGGATCTTCGCTCTTACTGAGGCGGTGTTTCTCTTGTGTGGAAGCACCATCCTATCCTTTGCTTTTACTTTGACTTCAGGCTTCTTGTGTATCACTACTTCCACCCCTAGACTCGTCAATGCATTTGTGCCAATGAGTACTTCCTTGTCTTCATTGTCCGAAACATGGAAAGCCACTTCCTTCTTGCATCCTCCTTCTATTTCTACTTCTACTTTTACACCTCCGAGAAAGCTCATCACATGATTGGATGCATCGTATATGCTTCCTTCCACAATTTCGAAAGTCTGAAGCGACTCGACATCGTACCCATTAATCCTCGCCTCTATAAGCACACTCACGGGTAGTATACTTATCTCTGAGCCCGTGTCTAGAAGTGTCGAAACCTTTCTTCCCAACATTCTCGCTTGAGTCAATGTAATCCCGCCAACAAGTCCGTATGCGTTGGATTGGGAGCTCTTTACGACCATGTTCCGGCCCCTACTTATCATTGATGTCACTGCATTCGAAGACTTGATGACGCCTTCATTCTCCGTTTCCCTGTACCTACAATCTCTCATCACATGTCCGAAGTGATCACATTTAAAGCATCTTTTATCTTCCTGATCCTCATCATAGGCAATCGAGCTACTCGTTGGCTCCTGCCTACTCATGCCAACTTCCCTTTCGCCTCTCTCTGCTGAGCTGCTTCGACTTTGGGTTATAGCTGGCACATAGCCTTCTTTTTTACTTGCTTTCCTCCAGGACGGAGCTTGCCGTTCACTCGTCCTCTCAAAGCTGCAGAGTCTTCGCGATTGTTCGATTTCAATCGCGACTTCTTTTATCTTATTATACGCCTCGGCTGGATCTACCTGGTGTAAGGTTCCCACCAGCTGCACGTATTCCGGCCATGACGTCAGATTCTCCAGCAGAATCTGTGCGTACTCCATCGATCTTTCCTCAATACTACATTGAGGATTGGCCTTCCTTGCTATTCTCGAGGGCGACACAAAAGTCCGCGACCTCTTGGCCTGGCCTAAAGCGCATATTTCTTAGGGATGTCAGCGCCTTTAACCTAGCTGCTGTGGAATCACAGGCCAGTAGTGAAGCCATCTCCCTCACTACTCTGTCGAAGCCGCCTTGCTGTCTTACCCCCATGGGTATGCTCAGAAATAAGGACTTTGCCCTTCCTTCCAAGTGTTCATCACCCAAGACCTCTATCAGCACTGTTCATCCTGGGCCATGGTACCATACTTTCTTTTGAACTTCCGAATGAATCTGTCAAAGTCTTCATCTTCATAGCCCTTGAAGACTCCAGGATCAGGAAAAGTCATGCTTTGAAAATAGCTGAGCAACTGATCTTCCACACCTCAATGATTGTCGAGTGGTCCGTGATCCGACCCTCTCAACACACTGCCTTCCCTCACTGCAACTGCCGTTACTCTGGGATTGACTATCTGGTTTAACTCGGCTGTTAGGTTCTCCAGCCTACCCAACATTGTGGCTACCCTAGCCTCCAACTCTTCTTCAAGTGGCAATCCATCAACCGGTATCCTACATCGGCTAAGGACCTTGCTTACCATCCCAGGTAGCATTTCCATTTCTTTCCTGATGAGGCTTATCTCCCCCATCATCAAGTGTGTTTTTCTGTCATGGATATCATTTGCACATCTTTGTTTCTGATCCATATCCATGAACATGAATGTACTCGGCAGCGAAATGCTTCGCCTTGCCTTTACATTCATCAATAATCAACGCCGCACGCGAAATCGCGCGTCTCAGCTGATCGAAGAGAGTCAATCACAATCGATACTCACGCCTCTATTAAGCGTGGAGTTGATCTTAGATTCGGCCTTCTTGGCCTGTTACCTACGTCACCTGGTCTAGTGGTATAACGGTTTTAACCGGATCGATAGACAACACGGATTGAACGACTAATAGTTTATCTCAGAAAAAACGGCGACGAACAACAAGAAACAATAATGCGTAACGTGAACAAGGCTTAACAACGAAACGACGGGCTTTACCCTCTTGACCACTTCGGCAGGCTTATAGTTATTCTCTATCTAAGGGGGAGATCCGCCTCTCTTCGACGGAGTTAGCTCCCGCTAGCGCTTCCTCAACGCGGACTCTGAGACTCCCCCTGACTCTCGGTATTTATACCCTGCCGAAGGGGTCGGTGCGGGCTTTTCTTTCCGCCACTGAAGATCGGTAGGTCGGTGATCCGCGCCCTCTGACATATTACATTTTACTATTCTACCATTCTACCATTCTATATAGTTGTGTTTTGAAAAGCATTCATTTCCTCTCTAATCCTGGCAAGAAAGTAAAAGCTACGAAATTTTTTTTGAGTGCGAATGTTTGCAGTTCTGTAAAATTCCTCTTCTAGATAAGGCTACAATTCTGAGAACCATATCGTAAAAGAGCATGAAAAGGACTTTTAGAAGTTCAAAAGCTTTGCTTTGTTAAAGAAATTTGGCGGAAAAATTATTCGGAATAAAGGCGTTGAAAAACACTCATCATTGTCAACCAACCTAGTATATCTCAGTTTAAGCATACAATCTTACCGACACAGGATTTCCGTTGAGGGGGGGGGGTGGGGGGAGACGACGGATACGCCACTGAGTCCTACTACTTATTATTTGGAAGAGTTTCTTAGATTAATCTTATTGCATAGGAGTAGATGCATCAACTCATATAATACAATTTTGCGTGATTATAACGTACTCTTTTCAGCAAGAGCAACAGTTATTTCAAACCTTATGAGAGAGAGTGGTTATGCTTTGCATAGGCAAGATATTCAGCGGGCTGGTTACTCAAAATGCTGCAATACGGATTTTGCCATGGTTTCTAGGCCTTTGACTCTATTATAAATTCAGTAAGCGATGCCCTAAGTTAAAAACCATATTAGAAAATAAAAAACCTATGTTTTTTCCAGCATTTACAAATTCGGTATAAAACCTTCTGATGTGATCGAAATGGCATAGCTGCGGGGCTTTATGACAACGTTGCCAAAGAGGAAACCTATTATGCCTTAGTTGCTGCAGCATCGGATGCTTTTACTTCATTAGAAAAGTGTCTGTATAATTTTGAGGGAAATTGCTTATTAGCCCTTTTTATGTCCGCAATGCACATTGGGGCTTCCATATACTCAGACAATCACAGGCTCTCAGCGGGCCCCACCAAAAGCGTCGTTGCCTTATCGCAGCCACTGTCGCTTCCCGCTGAGAGCTTTGTCGGAGCTTTGTCGGAGCTTGTCGGAGCGGGCTTGCTGCCCGCTGACCCCGCTCCGACAAGCTCCGACAAAACTCCGACAAAGCTCTCAGCGGAAAGCGACAGTGAGGCGATGAGGCCACAGCGCTTTTGGTGGGTCTAGGCGGTGGCTTTGTGGCTGCCGGCTGAGAGCATTTGATTGTCTGAGTACCCTGCAATATTAAGCCAAATAGATTGCTTGGTGTTTCAAAATTCGAACTTTACACTGTAAATTTAGGCATTCACTTCTTGAAGGTGCTTCCACGTTACCGTCGTAGTTACGGAATCAGAAAAAGCTAGTGCTTTGCTTTCAACAGTTGGCGCGATTCCGATACTATGTTGGATCTGTAAGAACCCTACTTTTTCAGCAAAAGACGCTTGAGGCACAAAATTTTCCTAGGCAGTTGTAGCCAACTTCAGATATAAAAGTGCCTAAAAACCCATGGAGCTAAAATAAATAAAAACCTCTACATAGTATATGCTTCATTGATGCTAAGTTTTTCGTGTATGGAATTTCAGAATTGAAGCTAGAAATTTTGATCTTGTACTTAATAATAAGCATGAAGCAGTCAAAGCTGGAGGTGAATGCACTGTAGAGTGTAAATGCACTTCGAATGAGGGTTCTTCGGATGAAGAATGAGTTTTTTCTGGTATTGCAATTTGGATGGTTAATCTATGAAAAAATAGAAAACATTTGTTGTATTACCTGCTCATTGAGTCCGTCATTGCCTTCGAGATTCAACAAAGTTTAGTGACAGCCAGTTCAGGTACGAAACTCTTTGTTCTCTGAAACGTCTACTGAAATTATTATTATTTTCGCTAACGACTATGACGAAGCAAAAAATGAACGATCAGTGTACTTTGCTAAATTGTTAGACTACGGAAATATGTGGGCAATTATATTATTCAATTATTACAACGAATTATGCATATTGCGATCACAAAGGTAACCAAGTCGGATGTACTTAGTTATAGGACAGCAGACATGAATGGATAGTGCGGGACATGTTCATGACCCTACACTCGAAGAGTAGTAGAAGAGTACACTGCACATAAACATAAAACTTTCACGTCAGAAAAGATCTAACCTTACCTAAGTTCACACTAACCGAAGTGTATAAATACATTTATTAGGTCGTTCCGAAAGTAATGTCGCTTTTTTCGAATGAACGCCACTATTCTTGGAATCAACATTTTCAAGAGATCTTAGGAGCATTCGATGCAGCATTTCATCCTCTTTCTAATAGTCCCAAATTCACTGCATAATGTTTAGTGAGCTCTCGAAAAATTTCCAAAATCTGCGACTCATGCTTTTTGCCATGGTCAAGTTCGGCTATTTTTCTAAATTTTTGTACCTAATCTCCGAAAAGTAAAGTGGCTGGTAGATAGAGCAAACACTATAGAACACAGAATAATTTTTTCTTTTCCTTAGCTTGTTTCTCAGAGTTTCTACAATCAATTTCTCAATGCCATCAAATTCCATATTTAGTCAAGTCAAACCTCACAGAACAGAAACCGGCAAGCGACTCGGGTGTCATTCGATGCAGCTTTTTCTCCTCTTTCTAGCGGTCGTTTTTATTTCCGATTCATCAAGTTTTCCGGGATAAAATCATCATAATTCAACTTTTCCAAGGCACTCCAAGGTGTACCCGAATTTTTCGAAAGTTGCTAAATCGAAGCGGTGAATGCTCGTTTGGTTTGCAAAATTGTTGCCAAACCATAATCCATCTTTGTAAGTTTCAAAATCAGGAAACTTGTTGGCGTTTGATGCACTTGTGTCTGAGACGAGCCTGCTAAAATTCGGTGGTTCCATCAAAAAATCTGTACAAAAATTATGTCGAGCTCTGGAAAGTAGAAAAAAGTTGTGCTGTTTCCTGTAGGGTTTGCTCCATCCATCCATTACTTGGACACCTTCTGAGGTTTGTTATAAAATTTTAGAGAAATTGTGAAACTTGACCATCTCAAAAAGCATAGGTCGCAGATTTTGACTCTTTTCTGGAAGCTCATTGACTGTATTGCAACAACTTCATAACCATTAGAAAGAGAATGAAATGCTGCATCAAATGCTACCAGAATCTCTTACACATCTTTGTTCCACGAGATGTGGCATACGTTTGGAAAAAGCGACATTACTTTCGGAACGACCTAATATATGAGTCATTTGTAACTTTGATATGTAAGTCTGCACTCTTTGTGCGGCAACCAACGAAATCCTTGTTATAACTGCTCAATTGACTTTTTCTAGTGCAATAAACTGTAAAAATGTGGTGTAATACTAACTAGTGCATGTCCAAGTCAAAAAAGACAAAAAACAATCAGAAATTACCGGAAACGAGCAGGTAATTCTTAGGCAAGGGACATACCTCACGCGATTTCAGTCGCCACGCGATCTGGCAATTTGCCATATGTCTTCAAATTCAATACTGGAAGACCTCAAATGCACAGCATGTATAACTTTCGTAGGTTGATAAAATGCCCCCTCTTCCGTACATTCAGAAACCCCGTAGGATGAGTTATGAACATTTGGAGTATTGCCAAATCGCGTGGCGACTGAAATCGAGTGAGGTATGCCCGAGGCCTTACAAAACGTCAAATAGCACGCATGATGTGCAAAATGCAAACTAAGCTACAAATGACTCGATGATGCATGGTGGCCTGCGCTCAGTCCCACTGACATTGTCTCCACAAGCAGTGTAGCATATACAAGGAATAAAGCAAGTCAAAATAGTAAACAACGGCGTGAGAAAAATTTATATCATTGCAAAATCTGCTAATTTAGATGGTTGTGATTGATAAAGCGCAGTTGATCAACACAGCGATATCAAAGCAAGCTCCGCGTCAGCAAAAATATTATTCAGCAGGCGTTCGAATTTGCCCTCACCTATAAGAGTTCAAAGAAACATCAAAGAAAGTAAATGATCAAAGGACGTTGCACTTTGAATTGAGCACAAAAATGCATTTCTCTGGTTTTATGTATCATGTGTTACAGAAGTCATTAATCTAATAGCTTACCTTTGAAAGTTACGTACATACAATCATGAGATCTGCTTTAGGATTTAGCTTGTCGTACAGAAAATTTTTTTAATAATTACGTTATGCGTCAAGATCATGCAGTGAGCCTAGTGTTTAGAACACTAATATTATACTCTTCACTGCAGTAAGATGTAAGTCAAGGGGGTACGAATTTCTTTGATGGTCAAAATGAAAAGTAGAAAAGTTTTTCTGAAGTAAATCGTAAAACAGCTTAGATTGAAGCGCACCATTTCTTGGTGCACTCGAAAACTTTATAAAGAGCTTTATAATTGCTCTAACTTTGGAATTTTGATTTTGCATCAGGTTAAAGGCGAATCCGTATCTAAGAATAAACTTGCTTTAACACAGTGTAAAGCTAATCTGTGAGTAGTGCTATTCAAGGTCATTGATGAACCTCAACTTTCTGAATAATGGCGAATGAACGCGAACGTAATAACGTTTGTCGATAGTTTGATATTGCATTCCACCTCATTTCCTTCAAAACAATGAATGTCATGGTCGAAGTATTAGTTGAATATAACCTGTTCAAAGCAATCTTACTGAGTGGAATCATAGATTGAAAATTCGGTCAGAATTGTATCAGTAGTCCTCAATTATTGTAAGATAGATGTTATTTACTTACGGAGTAATCTGTTCAAGAAGACTGTAAGTCTGACCACGTACTGTTTTTTGAGCGGAGGTAAAAACTACCCCATCATTGAATAAAGAGGATTAATCACTAAAGAGGTACACTACATGAGAATACTACAATTTTCTCGATCTCATCCTTGACGGATTTTTGCGAAAAGCTGTTGAGCAAAATAGGATCTCTCTCCGGGATTCAAAGTTGTGGTTTTGAAAGACTCGCAACCATTCATTCCACTTTTACCCAGCAAAAATGTGCTTTAAGATGGATTCTTAGCAACATACATTATTCTCATTTAAAAAGTAGCATCAGTTGAGCTTTGAAATGCCACCTCTCGTGATAATCCCTGTAATAGAGATGTTTTCATATTAGGTAAAAAAGTATTGCATTAGGTCTAGCAGTAACTGTGTTTTGCAACTGGAATGCGATTACTTGGGAACAAAGAGCGTGACAAAGAAGAATTACTTTTGGAAACCCTCTCAAGAATCAAAGTATAGTCACACAATTACTCGCCTACTCTTCCTAATCAACAAGCACACATAATTTGTCCTTAGCATGCATAATTAACCATTAGCGATCTCCGTATTTGCTAGAGCTAAGCAATATCAACGGTTGCGCAGTGGCGCTTTGATACAATGCCAGGAAAACATAGCAAATACCGTTTGAAAAAGCCATAACTCGTTGCAGTATGAAGCAATGTTGGAAGATATTGCGAGTGGTCGTGGCCTTCCCATTGTTGTCGTTCGCCTCCATTATGAATAGGGACATTTATGGAAATCTAAAAAGTGTTGGAATGTCAAATTTTCTCCGTGCTAAGTTAAGGTGGCTTGATAGCAAACATCTCTTGGCATTCATAGTGAAAAAAGTTTTGTTTTTTCATTTTATGGCTAACTGCCGTGTGAGCGGACGTCAGAATAGGTATTGAATCTATTCGTAACAGACCGGAAACGTTTACCAGCGCATAAATATTTTGCTAAAAGCTCCTGGGAAGTCTATTCTCATGCAAAACTTGCAACGAAACACCAGTCATCAACATCAATCCAAACCCACATTTGCGAACAACACGCTAAGATTTTCAGCAAATGCTAGTGAACTAGACGATGTACAAAATTACGTTAAGTTAGTATTTGACAAGGCGAGAGGGGATGCAGAGTAGCAGCTTGCTCACGAAAAACAATTTCTTCAGAGTATTGAATTAATTGCTGCGGTTTTCGACATGCTGCATACGTCTTTCACTTCGTAGTTAATTGAAAAGTGATCCTTCAGATTATTGTGAAAGAAGCTGTATAATTCAAATTTCACTAGATTTCGTAAAGCAAGTGTATAGCTCGCCTACACCGGTACCCACACTTTAGGTCCACCGGTAGCAAAATTATCTGCGACCGTGAGACGGATTTTGTCAAAATTTTGTAACAATGACATAGGACATGTTTTTCGCAATCAAATCAAAGAAGAAGCTCTAGCGCAACGATTAACTAAAAAACATCAAGCCGAAAACTTCTAGAAATCTAACTCTCTTTTTCTGGCTAGCTTCAGTATTCAGCTAATTCAGAAGGCAAAATGGTTGATGCTTGGGAGTTTTCCTCGAGCGAGAACTGTTTATCAAAAGGTAACAGGCGAAGCTTTCATAAAACTCCATAAAAGACTAGGAAATCAAAACGACCTGAAAGTAAATGTGATGGGGCTAAGTTTCAAACAGAAAGTTGAAAGCTGAGTCAAGTCAAGGTAGCATGATGGACCATCCTTCACTTTAGAAATATCTCTGCAAGAAGAAACCTACACCTCCAGCGTAAGTTTTTTATTAGCTGTCCAAGACTACTTGAAGCTGATGAATAAAGAGGACTTTTATAGCCTATTATGACTACAGAGAGTTACAAAATCAAAACGTAATTGCTTACTTAAGGACCTGGAAAGAATTTTTTCTACGAACAATTCTGTCACGGCTAACGATAGCCAGTGAAGGCGCACAAACTGTTTCAATATGTATATTTCATATTTGAGTAAAACCAATTATAAAGATTCGTGAGCTGAATACTCAAACGAATTCTTTCAAGACTGCACTAGTCGTAAATTGAGGCTATATCGGGTTACAACTCTCACTCATCCCAGGAGGCCACTTCTTGTTTTTCGGAGGTGGACAAAACAGAATCTGATGTCTTTCAAGCATCAGTGACCATACGTGAACCACATCATGTTCTCTCTGTGGGCGATTTTTTGCACAGTGCGAAGGTAAACCAATTTCAACGGGTATTTAATGGATAGACAAATTCAAATAAACTGCTTGGAATCAACGCAACCTTTTTCTCGAAATTATCCTCTCGAGAATCATATAATTTTGTCGTATTCGTAACATACTACAAAAATTCTATGCAACATCTGAAGTGATTATAAAATTGTCAATAAATAATCTGCAGAGAAAGAGTCTGTTCTAAGTTTATTCGCAGTAACTACGGGTATTTCGCATTCTTCTTTGACAAGATAAAAACTTAAGTATAATTGTGTCAGGACGCATATAACGATTAGCCTAGAAAGGTCTGCGCATGAGCAGCACAGCAAGTGGCTGTTATAGCAGCTTGGCTTTCCTAGCCGGAAGTGAAGCTAATGTAGCTGTTTTATGCGAAACACAGCAACTCAGGCTATTTCAAGAAACGTGGAATGAAGACATTCGCCAGAAACACTATATCACATCAGTAATAGTCCGAGAGATTTTTCGGGGGGGGGGGGTGTATGTCAAGAGGCGCGATTTTTATTGCCAGATGGACACCAAATAGTGCAAAATAAGGGTTTTCTAACGTTTCAAAAACAATTGAACTTTGGCAGAAGATATATTAGGTAGCTGCATGAGTTGCTTGATCTTGCTGTCTTGGAATAAATTCAAAACAGTAACTTCAGAGGTCAAAAACCCATGAAAATGCAGTTAAGGACAGATTTGTAAATATTTCGGTTCGTTCTCAAGCAAAAGCCACTAAACTCAGCAAGTGGTAACCTCAAACAGATAGTAAGCCAATGCACTTTATCTGGTATTTTTTGAAGACGCGCATAACACTAAACTGGAGTTTTGAGTTGGCGACAGCCGGAGAAATCGCGCCTCTTGACCGTCTCCCGGGGGAGAGCCCCCCCCCTCAATCCACCACTATGTGCTCTTGTGAAGGATTACGTTAACCAAATGATATAAGCCTACATCACTCTGTTTTGATGAACTATTTTTGGCTCATACGTAGTCTCGACAACTAGATCGCCCGAATTTTCACTCTGGACACTGGATGGAACCTTGAAAGCCACTTTCTTACAACTGCTAGGAGCCAATGATGACGGAAATCACCAATCTCTTCCAAGCATATCCTAGTTATATCAACTCAAAAATGGTTTGTGGAAGGAATCTTTCCAGTTTCCCTCCTCTTCATTTTTCTCTTTTTGGCTGTTTTTATAGTAATAGCTGACTCTTTTTCTCAAGCTATTGACATTTTATGTTTTTCTCCAGTACTTCTTCCCTTGTCAGGATTGTAAGCTTGTGAGCTACAATTCTTCCTCGGAGATCAAATAAATACCCTTTACTCTCCCAGAAGCGTAAACCAAATTGCTTCACCGACTTGAACGAAGCTACATTTATCACTACTAATATGTTTGAATTCTGATGTCACCCCTCGCTTTCCATGCCATACCTCCTTTTTTCACCCTCTAAAAATTTGCACTCTTTATAAGTTAAACGCTTCCCCGTTATTTGAACAACTAGAAGCACCTCAGCGTAAAGTTGAATACTTCTTTCTCATTTGTACTACTCGTAAGACTTTCACCAGATTGGCTGATAGATAATCGATTTGACCGCTTCTTTGGAACTCCAAACAGTTGTATTGCTGAGGTTTTGTGAGGAGGTACTTTTGAATTTCCACTAACACATATTATTTGAAATTTTCAGGCGTTAGCAGGCAATTACGTCCTTATAGGCTGTCCTTCTAACAAACACTATTTTGATTTCCTAAATTTCGCTTTCGAGCTGCAGTGATTGCACAAATGAGTAATAGTGTCTGCATACATATCTTTGCTAGGTGAGAAACAAGAGTGCGATTTGCTGCTCAAAATTGCCCCAGTCAAAAATATAGAAATTTCTAAGCATTTGCGGGTGGGGATCAATTTTTGAGCAAAACAAATTGCTTAATTATGACCATTTCTATCAATGCGAATATTGGGGAATATGAATATCGAGCGTGTGAGGAGTAAATAATCACTTCAAGCCTATCTCCAATCTGTTGAATAGAAATGATTTTTCAATGATTTTATTAAAAAGTTTGGTTTTTCCATTACCTTCCTGCACCCGCTCTCAGCAAAAAATTTTCTCAGAAGTTGATCGTCAACTTTTTTGACTACTCTTTCCAACAATACCATGAATTTACATGTATCCATCTCTAACATATCTACAAACCGTTGAAAACGATCGAGATTACTTTTCATCCAGTCTGATTAGTACATACGTCAAAGGCAAATGTGTAAAAGGGGAAGGGTGGCAGGGGTTCAACAATCAAAAGATCAACATGATCAACTTGAGCAATTATCTGTTTAGCATACCAAGTTAGAAACGCACACATTAACACGGAAGCCTATTCTATGCGTTACTTTTCACGAACGTGCGATCCCTGTAAGTATGAAAGCGCAAATTTGTTAAGTGATAGGTAGAGGACGTTATATTGCATAGGGACAGAGGTTGTGATTCAAGCATTTAGGAGCTTATCATGGAATAACTTGAATCTTTGCAGTGATAGGTAGCATTAGTGATCCTAAAAATTTCGTTTCGGCGAAAAAGGCAACAAATTTTTCCAGATGGGCCTGGCCTTATCCACGTTCTTTGGAAAAAATTTTGAGCGTTCTTCGAAACCCTCTCGGGCCTCAACCCCGAAATACTTAGAAAAGGAGGCGTGGCCGCTTGTTACATAGCTAATCTTAAAAACTTTCCAAAAACAATTTTGGTTGTCTACGAGTAGAAACAAGTCGTTTGCACATTTCTTTGACTAAAGTGGGCCACTTTCAAAGATTTCGCGACTCATTTTCGAGGGGACGCTCCTTGCCCCTCTCTTGTCCGTCGTTGGTAGGAGACGCTACCGAAAAACATTTCTGCGACCCTAGAGTTTCGGAAGAAGTGAAGATTCTAAAGCTTTGCTATGCTAAACATAAACTTTCGCACAACTTGAAGTTTCAATCTGCTCCTGAAATTCAGTAATGCAGATTAAGTCATTCATTATTATATTAACACTGAGTATTGACAAAGGACAAGAAACCGCTCACTATCAGTAGCGGTCTCCCACGCCCTCTAAAAAATTTTTGGAATGCTCCCCTACGTTCAGTAAGCCTATAATCCCGAAACATCGCAAAGGGTACAAAGCCATCCTAGATTTTTGGGAAATTACAGTTGAATAACAAAGCATGGTAGCAGTCAACGATATTAGTCTACTTTGCAAATTTGCATGATGACACCAGAAAAAACAATCGGGTCTGCACCGTTTGTTCTTCAAAAATGATGTGGAAGAACACAAAGTTGCTAGGTTATGCATCAATAAAAGAGTTTGAGTTATAAGTCGGCAACACTCTGTTACAGTCGACTGTTACACTTTTCCTTTGTTGTTATGAGATTCGAGTAGATTTTACGCGTGCTTCACACTTAGATTATGCAAGAATCTGCCCGGTCTAAACAATGCAATTAATAAAAACATAGTAAATTTTAGATCGTTATGCGAAAACGAGTGAGATTCAATTTCTTCCTGTTATTTTTTTTGAGCACCATTGCTATTGTCCTCCCTATGTAAGTGTAGAGCTTACTATTGCCGCTTTGTGCAGCATTGCTCAGACGATATAATAGGAGCATCTACGAAACAATAAAAGCTTAAATATAGAGTACATGCATTGATGACATTCCTTAGTAGCTCAATGCAGAACGAAGTCTGATTACTCCGAAGGAATGAGAAGAGACGATACTGCTGCATAAGCGAAGATTTTAGCCGCTACAGTACGATGTTTGAGCACGTATAACACACTAAAAGGATGTGCTAGTTAGTCTTCGGCTGTGCAGTTGCAGTTTAACGAGTATGGGACTAATTTACAAATATCCCCTATTTACCTTGAGATGTTTATCTGTTTCCTTGGTACAAAGAGGTAGGCTTGAGCGTTTCATGCACCAGTAACCTTCAAATTCATTGCTTTTATACGCAAATTTTTTCTTGGAGTTGCAGGAAGAAGCAGCGTTTGAAAAGCACATCAGAAGCTCGATTCTCCAAAAAAAAATGCTTGTATATTGCCATCTTCGTTCCGTAATCGAATCTTAAAAGGTGTTGCACAAAACTCGATTTGATACAAACAGAAAGATTTTCAAGAAATGATGCAACGTCAATCAAATTCAGCAAAGTTTACATATGAAGAAGGAGTCATGCCCCATGGTTTCTTCAGAAAGAGCTAGTAGGCGGAGTCAGTCGTGCGGGTAGTAATTTCTTTTGTTTATTCATCGAAAACCCATCATGTGACTCCAAGTGGGCCCAGGGGTTCTCCTAAACATTGCATACATCAGGCTTAGATGTGAGATGCTCTGACTACAAAACGTTGATTATTTGAGGTTATTTACGACAAAGACGCTTCAAATGAGGAAGTGGATTTAGACTACAAATGAGAAGATGAGTACCAAAAGTATTATAAATTGTCTTGCAATGCGCCAACAATTAGATTTCTTCCTGAATGAGAGAAGTTGAAGATTTTTGTGCCATAACTTGTCTCGTCCTGCGTTTTGCAATGCGCCAGCGTCTTGCAAGCCAGCACTTAGATTGTTTCCTGCATGAGAGAAGTTGAACGTTTTTGTGCCATAACCAACCAAAATTTCATGAAGTTGCATGATATGGAATGACTAGTGAGAGTTTTTCTGTATGTTCTTTCGTTCATGAAAGTGGGCTTATGCAGGTGTAAGTTCAAGGTTTATTCAGGTCGAACACATTATTTGAAGATGTTGTTGTCGGAGGTGTGAACGTGACTGCTATTCATAGTTTTCATTGAGCTGCCAAACATATATCATCTGCGTTCTTTGTGGTGCAGAAAACAACTTATTTAGCTGCAATGAACGAGAGTAATCCAATCATAGGTGCGATAGGGGGAGCAAGGTCCCCTCCAGGTGAAGGGGGTTTTGGCTATTTCTGACCTAGAAAAGTGAAGGGCTAACTGGGCCTGAGATGAATGCTGACGCAAGCTTACATGTCTAACGGAAGCGTGAAGGGCCGGGCATACTTCATGCGATTTCAGTCGCGACGCGATTTGGCAATTCGCCAGAAGCCTTCACATAAACACTAGCAAACTGCACATGCATAGTGAGTATAACTTACGTGGATTGATGAAATGCCCTATCTTCTGTACATTTAAAATGTGCTGACAACGAGTTATAGATAGTTGGAGGGCCGCCAAATCGCGTCGCGACTAAAATCGCGTGAAGTATGCCCGGTCCTTGAGTGAAAAGGAGGATAAGTGGTACAGAGGTGTAATATGAAGATTCTCTTAATGCTTAGACTTTGGAAGATCATCCAACAGAGACTTTTTTGACTCAGGAAAGCTTTATGTTTCATCAGTCGACATACCATTCGAAAGCTTGGAGCATACAGAATCGACGTAGACCGTCTTTTTTTTTTCAGCTCTCCTGTGAATTCAGAAATAGAAAATCATATATAGTTTCAGCACCAGCTGATTTTATGCAATCATTTTGAGTCCATTTTTGGAAGAAAGAGGAGAGCTAGAAAAAAGAGACGATATACGTTTACTGGTGAAGTCTTGCTCTGCAATAGGATTATACAAATGGGCATTTTCAATCACTCTTTGCATAAAAATTTCTTTACAAAAACACGCGTGTTTTTAGATAAAATGCCATGTATCTCTGAGTAGAGGGGAGCTAGAGAAAAAGAGACAGTCTACTTCGAGTCTCTGTTTTGTGAGCTTTTTAAAGGTATATAGGTTGTTGGGTGAAAAAAAACTCTGGCTTTTCAAAAATGAGGTGGAGATATTTAGTATTAACTTGCTCCACCTCGCTCTTGCTTTCTATGAATAGCCGAAGCAAGACTTTTTTAGACTGGGAAATCTTTGTGCACCAACACTTTGTATACCAGTCGATAGCTAAGAACACGAGGAATCAACATAGACCGCCTCTTTTTTCCTATCTCTTCTATAAAGCGAGATACGAGCAGTTTTATCTAGCGACAATATCAGCCATTTCTGAGTTATTATCTTTTCAAACCAAGAAGGTCTTCTTCGAACTTTCATATTTGATGCGAAAGCTTGAGAAACGAGTAATCTAACTGCTCTCATTTGTTCTTACTCTCTCTAGTGAAGGGAGACATGGCACGATTCTTGGCAGTAAACATGCATCCATCAGTAGCTAGTCCAGATTTTCTACTCTTGCTCAACTCTTTCTTGCAACAGTGTGTATTCATTGATACAATGTTATTTATTCAAAGGATCAGACATCTTTTAATTTTTGATTATGTTTCAACGCCTCTTTGAGTGCGCAGAAGGTCTCAACATGCGTTTTTTCAACAAAACGCTGTTGCTTCGATACTCTCTTGTAGTCTTGATGTCTAAAGAGAAGAGCAGCTGGCGTTTCTTTTCCAAACAAAAAGTGCCGTTGTAGCAGCTACTTGATTCTGCCGTTATGCCTTGATTCTAGTCTCAACCTCAGGTGAGAGGGGTCAGCCAGATGCCGGCCCTAAAGTGAAGGGGGTCATAGAAATATCTCCGCCTATCGCACTAATGAATTCAATCCTCTATCACGGTAGAATCATGATTCTCATGGTTTTGAAGAATTTACCAAGCTAGTGCTTTGAGCTGTTATTGGACCAAGGTATTACTCATACATGCTAATGAAAAAAGATCACTGTCATGCCAGGAAACTTTTTGTAGACATATTTGAATTAGAAATAGTTTGCCTCCCTCAGCGTTTTCATGCCAAATCTGTCAAATGCTAGTTGTAAGAGCGCTTAGGGGGTGTCTCACCATGATTTGGGTTTTGGGATTTTTGCGCATTGCGAGCCATCAGACCTTGTATAACCCTACACGGCCGCAAATTGCGCAACCCCAGCAACTCCGTTTTCCGAAGCCCTCATAAAAGGAACGCAGATAAGCTCTCCCGCTTTACTCTAGCTTTGGCCGCAGGGTTGAACACCCCAAGAAGGCGTCCTGGAAAGACGTGTTGAAACACGTTAAGAAAATCGACAAGTCGTCCAGCGCGAGCCAATTCGAGCCTTTTTCTCAGTGTAAGAAAGGCATCAGGCGGGACTTGGACATTGGCGTCCTCTGATGAACTTCGTAAATAACTCGTACACCTCTGGTTGAACTCCCTTCAACGCCAGATTCATGGCTGCTCAAATTTTATGCTTGCTTAGAGGAAATAGTAGATTTTCCTTTATGCTAGCCAAATGCTTCCCTAGTCATGAAGCTATTTTCATGTGTATAGTGCTCCGCCAATAGAGCATTTGTTTGGTAGACCGCAAATATTCATCACCATCTCCACAACCACCGATTTGCTCTCAAAACCAACAAAACACTCCTAATGAGCGTATACCGAATCAGTTCTTGACAAACTCGAGGTGTGCCCGCAGAGGTGCGGAAGTCAATGAGACATTTTAGGGGCAAATAGCGAAAGCAATCGTACAACATTTCAAACATGCAGTCATCTTACATTCAGACATCTCACTTACCATTTGATTCAACTGCTTGGCTTCGAGAAGGCGGGGCTTCGTGACCTAGTTGAGGCGGGGACTGAAGAGAGAACAGAGAAGCAGGCCGTTGTGTGACCGCGAAACCCTACCGACGTGGACTCCCGTTATGCCAATTTTGGCTTGGTTGGGTTTGAGACAGACTGTATTGAACTGGAGCGATAAGTTGTACGATGCATCTAAAGGGGCCAGCGCCGCGTAGTGCAGTCACACACCTTCGCGCAAACGCTACCGTATGCCTCGGCGTGCAGGGACCATGCTGCGCGCAACATGAAGGGCCTTGTTTTTGTTACCCTTCCTGCTTCTTTCTCAGCTTATTCTCAGTCCTGCTTTTGAATTTCTTTCTCTGTTTGAAACTCTACTTTAGGATTTTCTAAGATCACTCAAGTATAAGCGCGCGATTGGAAGACATAATGGAGGTTTAAGTTTTTCAAAAAGATGTATTTTAAATTGACTCTTCTAAACACCGTGAAAATGACTGGTGCTCTTCCTCCGCGCCGAAGCTGCAGGTAAGTTTTTTTGTAGGCTTTCGCATTATTCTATTAAGTCCATAACATGCTATAAGTGTTTCAGGCATCCCTCGCGTCACACACATCAAAGCCACTGCTGCGCTTCTCCGCTCTGAAATGGTATGCCCCTATTTTCTTACTACTTTGATTTTTTTCCTTTATTTATCCCTCCCTACCCTAATCATGAGCCTCGGGGGTGAGATGATGGGAGTTTTGTCTGGAGGTGAGAGGCGATACATCACTTTTGCGTACATCAACATCGCTGCTGTATGCGGATAAGTACACAGTGCTAATTTAGTCCTTCCAAAGATACAAATCATTCCAGAAATTCTCATCAGCCACATCTCAGGAAATGACTTATGTCAGAAAGGTATGTTACAAACTAGATTTTCACTTCCAAGCAACTTGTGTGTTTTGTGACGTTTTTTTGACACTGTGTAATCGTTGCCGAACTCGATATTGTAGCAACAATTTCTTGCTGATATACGGGTCTCCAAACATAATCGAGACCGCTAGAGGGCTATGTTGCATAATTGTTCAGACTCATGCTTTCCTCGGTTTTCCTACATCATCACTTTCCTAAGCGGACACTCAATTTTAGTTTAACAACTGAGTGCCTTCTCAATCTGACCGAGGTTCAGCAGATTTCGTATCTTCCCGAAACAGTGGTAGGGATTTCAGCAGGTTTTTTGAGAAGCTTTTTGACCATTACTTTTTTGTTGCCCAATTTTCAAACTTACTAGTAGTTCAGTCCATCAACATATTACTTCGATTCGTATTCGTAACCAATGCTCGCCAATGCAAGTGCTGTAATGTGGGAACTTTGAAAGATTCCCCACTGGTGTACTGCTTGGTTGTTGCAGACTTTGCTACCAAAAACTGGCACGATCCTGTTTGCTTTTCTACTATACACAGTTCTATCCTATATGAAATGACAGCTAACCAGAAAAAGAGGAAAACCGATTCACGGGTTACCAAGATCACGTGTGATCAAGATCATGTGACACACGAAGAAAAGATACTACTTGCGAGCGTCGCTATACTGACCTCATTTACTCAATAGAAGGCTCAAGGACACGCAACATCAGACAACGCTACAAAAACTCAGTCCGCAAGCGGAAGGTGTCATTAGCCGTGTTGGAGAATTTTTCGAAAAATCAAAAGTTGCGATGAGGGGTACATGTGCCCATGCAATTTTTAATAGACCTAGAGATCCAACGGCACTGGCTTGCGGTGTTTCTGTGAGCACGTTCAATTGAACGCCGCAAAATTTGCATCATCTATCAGAAACAAGCACCAAGAGTGCTGTAAGCAGAAAACAGAGGTGTCTAATTACACTCAACAAATACAAAGAAGAGAGGGGCGAAATTGCGAAAAAAGCAATACATGAGAAATCAAAAACGAAGAAGACGTCACCATTACTAACCTGCACTGCCAACTATGGTCACAAATTTTGGTTCTCGCGAGCCACCTTGTTGTGCTTGTTAGAGCACTTGTTTTCTCCTAAAAAATAAACACAAAGTGCAAAAATTTGTATTTGAGCGATCGATTAGTCGCAAAGCGTTCGAAGTACTTGTCCGACATCAGCGAAGCGAGAAGTCGTGAGATTGCCTTATATATATGGACGAAACATGGATTTTTGCAGGGATTGTTGAAAAAAAAATTGTTGAAATGATAACAATATTCCACGCTTTGGTTCAAAAAGATGTTTGATAAGTACTCCTAAGGGAGAAGTACCGAAATAAACAAGAGCCGAAGGGCCATAGTTATTGGAGCTAGGCTGACAACGGTATACTCTACCAGGTTGCACCAAACTGGTTTTTTATGGCAAAAGGGACAAAGAAGATGATTACCACCAAGATATGGATCATCAACTCTTTCAGCAGTCGCTGGAGAATTCAATACCGCATATGCTAGAGTGGGCAAGAGGGAGGCGCGTAACACTAATCATGGATAGGCTTCATATCACAGCAAATAGGTGCTCAAATTCCCCGCGGCCCGCTCCACCACAAAATGCATGAATGATTATCTGGTAGCAAAAGAAATAGAAGTAGGCGATAAGAGCACAAAATCCAATCTTTTGCCAGAGGTGTTTTTTCGTTCACTTTTACATCGGAACAGTAAATGTTTTCTTGTCCTCTTGTTCTTTGTTCTTCGTTTTCTCTTTAGTTTTAAGTCTTCATAGCTTCGAAAGGTGGTTTGAGCGCTGTCCGCGAGTACGCAGTTAACAGATGATTGTAGGTGCAGTAAATTGGGCATCAATTTAATAAGACTGCCTCCATTCCACTGCTTTTTTAACCCCATAGAGTTATGGGGGACAAATAATAGCAGATCTCACCAAACACGGTAAAGTCAAAACAGGTGCAGTGGAATGGATGGCCCAATGTGCCTTCATCTTTGACAGTTATGATTCCGTGACGCTCGTAAGCAGGAATTTGTCGCGCGACATAAACAGCACGACGACAGCCTCGCCGACGAGATCTCCGATGATAATGCCTCGAAATATTACGTCGTTCCATAAGTTCGTAGCGTTTTTATAAATCAACAAAATCATCAATTTACGGAAGAATCAATCAAAATTATGTTCCTCGTCGTAGCGCACGACCTTTTGGCACACTCTTGTTAGCTCCTCAACCTCAATTTTTCAAACGGCAGCGCCGGGTCCCAAGAAAGTCATCTAACCAGCGCTCAAACTGCTTACTAAAATCGGGACATGATCATTCATGAGGTTTGAAAGAGAGCGGAGCAAATGATAATCTGATAGAGCGAGGTTTGCAGAGTACTTGGGTACTGAACTATCTTTCAGTCAAATCGCGCAGGAGAGGTTTGACGACGTTTGCCGTATGACGCCATATTTCGTCATGCAGAAAAACTCACTGAATCTGTCTGTTAGGCTTTTTCTGCGGTAGGACCTGGTTTAGACGGTGCAGTTGGATTGCTTGAGGTATGGTTGACCATCGCCTACCTGTACAGCAATTTTCAGCGCAGGACGTTTGCGCGTCCCCGAAAAGTCTTGTTCAGGAACACCCTGCTCAGCCCCTAGTCTTTGTAGCATGTTTCATACTGATGTGCGAGGCCATGTTCCATAATCGACACAAAAATCTGTGCAAAAGCGCCTCTTTTCATAAAGAAAAATGCACAAATGTCGAAATTGCTTCTTTTTGCCTCTCAAGATTTCCGTCTTTAGAAGCTGCGAAATTCGAGTGAATCAGTTTTCCACCGGAATCAGTAGGCGTATTTCAAAGCGCAAGTCAGCCCTTCCAAATAATATACGCATCTTGCCGCAAATCAACCGCTCCCTAAAGATATGAGGACGAAAATGAAAACGCTACGAACTTATGGAACGAGCTTATACAACAGCGATATCGATAACTTTGAGCTGGAGGAACTAGAGAGTGACCTTGATTTGGAAGAACCAGAGGGTGACCCCGACTTGGAAGAACTGACTAACGTTTTTGTATGTGCATTGTAGCCTGTCATGCATGATAATATTCAACAGGAAGAAATACGACTGTTTATAACAGTGAAAATACATCAAAAAACAACACTTACTTTTTCAAGTTCTGATCATAAAGTATTCTAACGTGTACAAGTTAGTTGTAGGCGTGTCTTCGATGGTACCACTATTCAGCAGCAAGGAGTGTTCGCCACTACTGCTATTACTGTTATGCGGTAAATGTGAAAGAAAAAGTACACACTTTTGGAAAGAGAAAAGTGAAAAACAACAGAATCTTTTGAAGAACATATAACACGTACCGTACAGAAGATGAACAAATGATATGGAAGCGAAGTCCCAGTGCGAAAGTGTGATAACAGCTCGTTGGCGCCGTCTTTTCAAACCTAAACATAAACGATCGCATTTGCTGATAAACGAGCCGATATAATGAATGATGACATCGAAGCAGACGACCATTCGAAGAGGGCTTGGATAGATGAAAATGCCATTATGATGTGAAATACTTACAAGCACACAAAATAAATTTTAAAAAATAACAAAGGCTTGATGCTTCCTTCCTTTGCAAGGAACAAAGTCGTAATCGAAAACAAGAGAGATCGTGTATGAGCATAGACACAAAAAAGACAGTGCGCTACTATAAAAACGGAAAATGACGAGATACAATAACAAAAACAAGGCCCTTCATGTTGCGCGCAGCATGGTCCCTGCACGCTGCGGCATACGGTAGCGCTCCCGCATAGATGTGTGACTGCACAACTTCTCGCTCCAGTTCAATACAGTCTGTCTCAATCCCAACCAAGCCAAAATTGGCATGGCGGGAGTCGGCGTCGGTAGGGTTTCGCGGTAACGCCACGGCCTGCTTCTCTGTTCTCTCTTCAGTCCTTTTCCTCTCTCCGACAGCGCGCATATGCAGCGCAGACCGCAGCGCTGCGAGCGCGCAAATTTACGCTGACGGTTCGGCCTGATTCCGATTGGAGCATACTGTATGTTTATAGTGAAGGATAATAGGAATACCTATGGACAGGAAAACTGTTAACAACTTTGTTAACAACTTCGAGGAACAACGGTTTAACAACAACTTTGTCAACAACTATGAGGAATCAGATAGTCTCTAATTCAGCGCATTCAGAAAGAAAAGGAGGGATGGAAAACCCGCAGTCGCCTCCTTATTTAGCCAATCCTCTAAAGGCGTAGTTTTTTTATTCATGTGGGAACAGCACAGCATCATTTCGGTAAGAGTGTAAATCCCCGTTTTCTCGATTTATGAATAAAGTATCAATATGTATGAATAACATAGCTACCTTATGTATGTTTAATCTGAAGTAGTCTAAATGCGTGAGCGAGCGAAAGATTTGGTAAGTTTTTCTTGAACGAAGATATAAAGGTCTTTCAAGTTTTTGGGCGTCAGGAACCCCTTCGATTTCGGGTTCAAACTCAAGGTGTAGTGAAGCTGGTGCAAATACAGGCCCTCTTGTCGGTCTTACTTTGCCGTATCGGACCGTACCCTGCTTACTAATTAGAATCGAGATGTGTGGTTTACTGCGCTGCATTTCTCAATTTTCTTACATTAACCTTATGGGTAACAGGGTACTACCGCATTTGGTGCACCGCACTGGCGCAGTTAGCAATGACCTCCCTCTTGAGTTGGAAATTCGAGCATTATTTGCAGACTTCAAAGTTATCGCACTTCTTTGATACCGCTTGTAGATTTATATGTGATTTGTTCCAATGAAAGCCATCAATAGTTAGCAAGTTGCTAACAGCTTCTGGAAATTACTTCCAGTCCTTCGACTTTTTTCCGAAGTGTGTGTGTCGAGCACTGCAATAATCTTTTTGAACTATCGGCTTGCGATTCTTTTCAGCAGTCAAAAATCAACGATAATCAAATACTCTTTTCTTTGCACATGAGGACATTTGTTGGACGAATGCTTACAGCACTACAACTCATTGATGACTGTGACTGCCTACTTCTCATGATTGATGGCTGATGTATCCCTTCTATAATACAATTTGTTCCAAATGGTGCTAGGAGAGTCACAGTTGGTTCTTCTATATCTACCATTGGATGTTCCTTAAAGGCGCGTTCAGGCAAATCTGGACATGTGGGGGTCTCAAGTGGACAGTAATTTTGGGACCTCACTAAGACACACTAGTTAGGGCCCCAAAATTACGTTCCACGTAAAATCTTCATAGGTCCAAATTTGCCTGGACGCTATGTTTAACGTATGTGAAACACTTTATTTTAATCTATTATTATCAAGTTGGTGAGCGTATATCGTCTTAGTCACAGTTGATCAACAAGTGAACGGTGACGCACTCCTTACTGTCCCTATGTCTGCGGATGAACATCTCCCCATGCGTTGATTTGCGTTTGACAGGCTTATGGTTCCTAGCCTCATCGTAGATATTCGTCCAGAGAAATCTCTTTGTAAGAAAATTTTTTTGATCAGTGAGCGCATATCTCGATTAACCGCAACATACACTACCAGAGCCCGGCACGAGTCGGTTTCTAGGGTTTCTGAAAACGAAGTCTCCCCTGACTTTCGGAAGTTTTACGAAGTCCCTTTTGACCTACCTGCTTAGGAGAAGATAAAAACAAGAAAGGTTTACTAGTCTGAAAGAAAAGACGTAAGATAAGAGTGAAAATCCAAATTGGAGCTGAGTACTACGCATGCACAAGACTTTGGCATTAGAGCGCGATATTTAACAAAGCGTGAACAAATGATGGCAAAAAACAAAGGAAAGGCAATTATATGAAAATGTTTTCATGCTCGGGGATAGATTTTTGACTGGGGAATCCGTCCATGCTAAAAAGATCCGAAACTTATGTGAAGTGACGAAAATATATGCTCCAGACGATCTCAGATCGTCTGGTGGCCGTCTGGAGACGAGCTAATTTTGGAAAAGGTATTACTTCACATAAGTTTTCAAATCTTTTTACATAATACTTTCGCAAATAATTTTTTATGCATACAGTTCAATTTCGGTGTCATATGCTTTTGTGTGCGCTGTAAACAAGCAATTTGTTTATTTTAGCCTTGCTTTCAAATCGCGCGCAATTTTTGCCATACACGATAGAGCATGTCACTCGTGTGATAACCTGTCCGAAAAGCTTGTGTTCGACTAAATGGCGCTTATTCTTGGTGCTCGGCCGCCACTAGTTAAAAACGATATCCCCTTTGCTGTTTGCTTCAAAAACGAAGTCCAGCCCGCTTCCAGACGATCTGTGCCGGGCCCTGTACACTACGCTACTGCAGCAACCTGAAAATAAGCGTGTCTAAAATGTCTTGTTGACATAAATGACGAACCCTACGCCACAAGTCCAAACGTGTAAAAAGGACCAAGCACTCCGAAAACCAAAAGGCCCGTGAGTCGAAAAAGCCCAACGCCAACACTGGGTAGAGTGACGAGAAGTAACGACGTGAGCAGGATGCCCATTGTGGTGCGGTTAGCCTGGGCATAGATGAAAACGGCTATGCTCATTACTTGTGTTGATTTAAAATGTACGTATTAGGTGCAACTTTGTTTAAAGATGTTATTGGGCAGAATTCTGAACTTGATCAATCAATACATAAAGCAATCCACATCGCTTGACTTTTAGGTAAGCACCAGTTTTGGCTGCTTTTGAATACTTCATCTACACATACATCTGAAATTTTATCGTGCGCATTTCCATCTTTTGCTACCAGTGGTGGCTACGATTACCCTATAATGTTGTCTGAAGAGTAATAACTAAGTCTGAGTATCGTTTTAGTCCTAATTCTGGGATAGCTTCAACGAAGATAAGGCCGTTCGCGAAAACATCGATTTTTTTGTATCATTGCAAAGCTGCATTCTCGATATTTTGCGAAGCTATACGACCGTCAAAATAGTTTATGTCGAATCATTCTTAAAAAGCTAGTTGAAAGAATATTATTTAACATGAGTGCCACGAAAAG